CCAGCCTCCCTGGAGTACAGAGGCCTTGCTAGTTCATGCCTGACATGACCATAATCCACCTTTCCTACTCCCTGAAGGACATAGGGACTCAATGATTGAATGCAGTCTGGGTCAGGTTTCCATTCCAAAATGTTCTAGCCCTCAAGGAGACTAAGGGTGGTGTAGGCATCTGGGTACTAGCTCTGTCCTAGTGTCTACTAATTAATAGCCAACAATTTAAAAATAGCTTTGTATTACTAATAACAGGAGAAAAAAAAAAAAAAAAGATAACCTTTTTCTGATTTAACCTGCATTCCAATTTTCTGTCTGACATTTCACCAGAATGATCATTCCAGATAACTGTCTACTGCTCATTCAGTCTGCAGCTGATGTATAGGAAATGCAGTTAGTTGTTTCTTTTAATTAAAAAAAAACAAACAACTTTTATTTTTTTTTTAATGTTGCTGGAAAATTAAGAACATTATCACTGATAACAGTGAGAAACCTATTAACCAAATGTAAGTCATTAAGATCTATTACACTGGATTCTGGAATCACCTTCCCCTGTTATCTTTTCTTCCCCACCTCTTCCCCCTCTCCACACCAGCTTTCAGTGCAGATTCTCAAGAGAATGAAATATGACCATCATAAGAAGCCATCCCTCTGCCTCCAGCTGCAAGATCCCGTCACCTGTATTGGATTAGAATCAATGGTCATAGTATTACATGTTCAGTCAGATGATCAAACCTATCTGGTTGAGGCACTAACTTACAAAATAGCAAAATTAAGATAATTTTTCCCATTTTGATTCATCAGGCAACATGGCTTTACAACAGCTATTGCTGACACAAGTGAAGCAGAAGGAAGAGATGACTGAAAAAGGAAGGACAGATCCATTCCTTTCATTGACTTAAGACACTTGAGTATAAAGCCAGAGGCATGAACCAAAGCAGAGACCTTTTCTAAAGCTCAGAAAATATTCTACCTCTCCCCATGAGTCAGTCTCCCCTAAAGCACATGCAACAGAGCATGTGGACATTCACTGAACTTTTTCAGAAATGAAAGCACAGCAATTCTTTCTAATTCCTGGCCTTGTATTATCTAGCTGAGAAACTCTACGTTAAATTCTACTTTCTTTATTGTAATGATGATAAAATACAGTGTTATTTCACAAACATAAAAGATCACATTTAATATATAACTGAAAGAAACTACTATGAATTAAAAAAATATTATCTTAATAAAAAAATACATATTGGATTTGCACTAATTCTCAGGTAACTGGAAACAGTAAACTGAAATATGACTTATGCTATCTTTCTTTAGGCAGATAGATATTTAAATCCAGAGTGTTCCTGTTGGGCTTTCAGTTGAAAGGTGTTTGCAAATTACAAAGCACAGTTTATGTATCAATTTTAAACAAATCTTTTACTACCATAGAAAATAAGCAACAGAAAATCATAAAAAACATTTTGTAGATGATTCTCTCTCAAAGTCTTACACAACCCTATGTCTCTGAATGTCAGAAAACTCGACAAGGTTAAAGCTTTTGAAGCACATCAACATGTGAATATAAAAGCTCATGCATTGTTTGCACTGCCACTACATAAAACAGATGCATTCAGACATGGGAGACATGCACTGAAGATCACTGGACTACAATCAGACAAAACCTTACCAAAAAATAACACACTGAGCTGTACTCACTAATAAAACAGACAAGTGGTGGAGACTAATACAGAATACCAAGGACAATTCTCTTTTTTTGAAAAACACATTTCAGGAGATGCCTGAGATAAGTGCAGTATAAAGCAGTTTCCACAGACTTTCACCCTCTGCCTTAATGGTAATTTCTGCTATTATGTCCTCTTTCAGTGAGAAAACTTCTTACTTTCTAGGCTCTGTCTAATATCCTTAATGTTCAATCATTTGAGCTACTGAACACTCATTATTGAAATTAGTGCAAATTAAGCATGTGATAATGACAGCAATTCAGGATAGCATCACTCTTTATGACAGCACATAAGCACATGGTTTTCTGAATTCTGGTCTAATTACAGTACTGATTAGGAATAAGTTTAAGCATGTGCTTAAGCAGTAATGGTCAGAATAAAACTTCAAATACTGTGACTCCATCTACCAAAAAACTAACTTTCATCCAGGTAGGTTTGAAAATGATTGCAGCATCTAAGCCCAAATAATTATAGCCTGTTTCTTGCCATTTTTTTGAGTATCACTTAGATTTCTTGCAATCAAGTGTTCGCATGCAGCTCAGAAAGAAAACACATAGTACTAAAATAAAATATTTATTACATGCTATGTTACAGTTCACTGCATTTCCATTTCTATTTGTACTCACAGTACTACAGGAAACTATAATTATTTCATCAGAAACAAACGAAGTACACAGGGAAGTTTGTCAACAGCCAGAAGTGTATCCATAAGCCAAACAGCCATAACATTCAAAAGCTTTAATACTATATTGCACTGTATCATAGAAATTAGAGATGAAAGACTTCTTCTCCAACCCTTGCCAATTCAGGATGTTTTCTGTTCTCCAATTCTGTCACTGGAGGCTGATTGGCAACTGACAACCACATGAATAGAAAAAGCTAACTAGATTTGCCAGAGAAGAGCAGACTGTGAAATCTGTATTTCTCCTTGTGAAGTGCCAAATTCTTTCAAGTTCCTTTTGTTTAAAGGTGAATTAATGGAACTCAGGAGCTCACAAAATCTGGGCCTTGGATTGTACAGCGAGTAGACTGCTTTTCAAGTACACATCCAACAAAATGCTGCTGAAGCCACCTTCACCCCTCCTACAGAGGAATGTGTTTAGTGTGCTGTCAAAAAGCATCAAACTGCGCTATGGAATTAAAAGTGACACATTTCCATTTTATTGAACACTTTCTGAAAATGAGCTTGTAAAGAAACAATACTTTGTAGTAGATCAGTGTATTTAATGATGCCACACTTCTACCCTCAGCCTAACAGTGAGAAGTTTGAGCTCAGAAAGGTCAAGCAACCAATAATGTCAGCCAACCTCAGCAGCAGGCTTTCAGATTCTCTCAACCACTTTCATATTTCATTAGCTAAATACCAAAATAAAGTCTGCATCAAAATGAGATCTTCTCTGTCACACTTTTTTCCAGAATCACTGCATATACTCTTGCATTTCCTATTAGACTTCGGGGCTGAACACTGCAGTAACATTTAATCTAAAATATGTATTGTGTATCATATCTTATTATGTCTGGTACCAACTAGAATATTAAAATACATTAATCTTCTCTGAGAAATTCAGAGAAGGGAGCCCATTCAACAGAAGTATTGAGGTGGAGGGGTCCTTCATATATAATTTTCTATTATTAGCCATTAATCATGTCTTTATCTCCAGTACTGAACAACCTTACCTACAGCCAAATGCTAATCCCATTAATCCTCTTTAAAGATCTGTAAGGTCTTCTGTGTAGTTCTGACTTTTACTTAATGCATATCTTAATTTTACAGTGACTTTTGCAAGCTCACTTGAGACCAGTTTCTTTTTGAGAAAGGAGAAAAAATGCATTTCTTCATAATAAGGACAATGGATTTAAAAATAGAAATGGGATACTAAATGCTGCCCACCAGCAACAATCAACACAGAGAAGTCAATCCAGAAAAGCTAGTACTGAAGAATTGCTACCAAAGTGAACAGAAGCTCTGACCACAGAAAGGCTGGAGAACTAGTCCTATGATTTGGTGGGGGGAGATACATCCCATACTGGAGAAGGATCTGCAAAGCATAAGGATTATTTTTACTTCCCTTTCTACCCCCAGTAACAGGGTTTTTCAAATAGAAACAAGCAAGTACCAAGGAAGTAATTACACAGGAATCCATTACCCAGGTTCAGTAAATTCATACCATCTGGCTTTGGCTCAGGGAGTAGCATAAGCCATAACAAGAAGGAGCTCCAAACTCAAACTGTATGCAAGTGAAGCAGGTCACACACCACACTTTTTGGGCTGGAGATTTAACATGGTGGCTTTGAATCCAATTACTATAGCATTGTAAAAGGTTTTTCAAACTTTGATGATACAAATTCTTCCAAATAAAGACCTATGACTTTTTCTCTGTTCCTGAGTATGAATCAAACAAAGGAGAGGGGAACAGGGAGGACATGAAGAGTATTATGCTCAATGGCCAGAATCTCAGTTAGGTGACATCAGTCTGGCTTCCATTAAATAAGCAAGCAATGGCAGCTAGGTATGAATTTTTGAAAGTTGTAGCCCTCTTGAAGAAATTCAGGGAACTCACAACACTGAAGTAATGGCAGATGGAGCATAGACATAAATGTAATCTAAGGGTGAAAACCGAAAGCCAAAAGCCTGTATCAACAGTCAGGATAAGACAAGCTCAGAATTACCCTTGGGCTTTTTGTGACATATCCATTTCTGGCTGCTCTAATCTCTGCATTCTATATAAATCTGAATATGATTAATTACTATTTAATCACTCTTTTAAAAATATCGCAGAGAACAAATGGCTGGTGGAAAAATAGAAATGTTCCATTTCAAATTTTTAAAATGAGGGATTAATGAAACCATCACCTTATGGATTAAATGGACAAGAATAACTAATTCCATTTTATTAAGGCTTTCTTTGTAAAGGTGTAAGAGATGCTACAAAATTCATCTGTATTATCATTTAGGATTAAAAATTGGAAGCCTTTGTAGATCTGTCCAGTTAAACAACATAGCCTCTTGAGTGCATTTTATTAGAGCTGGACAAAAATATGTGTTTGTTCAGGCAAGTGAAATCTTAGGGATATTTAAAAATGTTTCTCTTCAAAATACCAATAACAGTTCTATAGTTGATCACAAGAGGGAGACTACATCACCGTATTTCCTCTCATTGTTTCAAATTTTTAAAGCATCCCAAGTTTGACTCATTTTGAACCAGCTCTAATTTTTGACTGCTAACTTGAAAGTGTTAATGACTGTTCAATTTGCATTTTCTTCTGAGTTTGTCAAACCTCTGAAATTTAAAGATAAAGATAGCCAATCCAGTAAACAAGATTGAACAATGCAAAGGCAGTTGGAAAGAAGATTCGAGAATAAGAGTCAATTTTTGCAATACGGATGTGTATTCTTCCTTCTCTCCAAGATCCTGTGCGGCAGTCCTCAAAACAACAGAAGAAGCTAGCACAGTCTTTCCCTTCTAGGCACTCATATCCATAATCATCATCATGTTCAGGGAGATGATTAATGTTATTAATTGGAATCAGTGTTGATCCAGGTCGAACAGCAATTGCAGGTGGTTTCTTAAGAAAAACAAACAAAGAAACAAGAAAAATACAGTTTTGCAGGGTTTTTTATCCTCACATTAAGTAATTCCACAGACTTGCCACAGCAAAGGCCACCTTCAGTACAATATACAGAAATTCTCATATTAAAGAAAATACTTTGGGGAGTTTTTTGAATTATGAACCACTGTATACAATCAGCTCATGCAGGCAAAAGATCATCTATGATTTCCACCTGCCACAGTGAAAACTGGGTTGTGCTGGGATTTGGGAATAGTGGATAATTAGTTACACAGACAGGGTTTGCTGATCCCATCTACACAATTCAAATGAGCATTTTTTAAGGCAGTTACAGCTTGACAACAGCATTAGCAGGAAACCCAGAAGTAGGTTATATGCATCTCTACCAAGGGAAGGATCGTCCTTCCATCCTTGGGAATCCTTAGAACCGGACTGGATATGTTTCTGGAAGCTACATTTTCACACACAAAAAAAAGCTACTGGAATTAGTAGTTACATTTCAGGCTCTTAAACTTTGCATCACTGGTGAAGTTTAAGACACTAAGACACACAAGGCCAGGCTACATTATCTAACCCTGTGATGTTAAATCCTGTAACAATATGCCCCCCTTCTCCTTAGGAGAATGCCATTCAAGTCAGTGAAACTGACTAATTCAGCTCTTAATTCTTACTTTTACTTCCTGCAGTATTAACTCAACCCTCTTGCAATCTGGTCAAACCTGAGTGCAATAGATGTTAAGGTTCATAAATATTTTTCACAGAAAAAAATCTGGGTACCTTATTGCCTAGTGCATTACTGCTTCACTTTCTTGCAACTTTTGCATTTTTACCTCCCTTTTACTTGCACTACAACAGCTCACCGTTACCCCTTTATATTATTTTGTTTCCATGCAGTCTTCACTCTTCATCCTTGTCTTCCTGAATATTTCAAGACATTCTCTCTGTCTTTTTTTCCTCTTTCTATACCTTATAACCTTTTTAAAACCTTCAATACTCATCTTTCTTTCAACCTTGTCCATCTTTGACATCTCTCCTAAAATCTTCAGACCGATGACAGGGGTCTTACACTGCCTTCTCTCTTCTCTACGATTTCCATATTTTGTCATGTAAGGAATAAATACAGCAGGGAAGGATGCAGTCAGAAGAACTAACTGGGTATCAAGGCATAGGGAAGAATCTCTCTTAAAGAATTATACATGTTAAGCAATGAAAAAATAAGAAAAAGAAAAAAAAAAAAAGGCAGGAAGTCACATAATTTAGATTCTTCTTATGTTTTAGAGTCCTGTTGTCCCACTTCCAGGGAATTACTCTGGCCAGTACACAGATCCCTATATATTGTTAAGGAGGCATTTTAATGCTGCAGGGACATTTTACCCAGTGTTGCAAGGGGTGATATTAAAGCAGCGCAGGATCCACCCAGTTTTTCAATAGCCTTATTTAACAAGTGTCTTTACCAGAGGAAGTTTCATACAGACTGCTGTTTCAACACTTTTTAGACATGATGACCTAGGGAGATAATTATCATCTCAACAAACGTCATTATTCTTTTCAGTTATAATAAAACACTGTCAATACTAACAAACAGTAGCTACATGCTTCAACCTTAATGTGAGGCATTACAAAAGGGCTTACTTTTACAAAGCATAAAAAATATTTTCTTTTTTTTAAAATCACACAAGAATTATCTGACTGTTGGTTCTGCCAACATAAGATTCATGGCATGATTTGTTTCTACTAGTGGTGTAAAACAGGAATCCTCAGCTCAGAAATACCATGGGAGATGGTAAAAATTACAGTTCTGCTTTTCATTGCTCATGTCACTAGTGCAGACTGAAGCTGGCTACTGAGTTACAGGTTTGAAGAGCTATTCTGAGAGCAGCAGAAAGACAGTGGCATCTTACAGACATAACTACCTACACAGAGTACATAAAATGTGTGTGAGAAAGAGAGAACGTCAGGGAAAAAAAAGGAAGAAAGACCAACACCTCACCAAAAAAAAAAAAAAAAATAAATCAGCAGAGACTTAAAAAACCCCACAAGCAAACATGTAGATAACGTAGTAGATGCTGATTTTTCATGTACATGCCTACTGATACTGTAGATAAAACTCCATGTAGAGAGAAGCTTTCATAATACACTCTGATAGGACCAAAATTATTCTGCATCAGCACTAATACAAGTACAAAAGAAAGCCCTCATCTGCAGAAATCACGGCAAAGGAGATGCATTCACTTGAGGTGAAATGATGATCAGAACAAGATTCACAATTAATTAAGTTTAATCTTTCCTGCCCAAACTCATTGTCTTTACTAACATGGATTTATATAAGACAATTCATACTATCTTTCCTGAATGATGCCAGCACATATTCTGTAAGATAAAACTCCTGTAATAATTTGTAAAAATCACACCATTTTTACACAAGATCACTTATTGCATCTAATCGGCATTGGTTCTTGGAATAATCAGCTTTCATTGCATTTTGCAATAGAAATAGAAGATCTACACAGGACAAGTTTTCCAAGGAAAACACAACTGTAAAATAAAACTTTTCAGAAGGAATTAAACTGGCTGGTTTAATTAATGGGGTGTTTTAATTATATCCATAACAACATGAAAAAAAGCATAAATAGAAGTCTTTGATAAAGTGAAAAAGAAAGAAGAAAAAAAAAAGAAAAGGATTTGTAATTGTACAATTTCCCATTAATTAATCAGATGGCTTCTTTAATTGTGCTGTTTGGAAGAAGAAATTGCATAGCTTTTTATAGAACATCAGAATAAAAGCCCTATTTATCAATTTAGAATCCTTGCATCTAAGTATATTAAATTTAATCCTCCCTTTTTTTAATAGAAATCTCTTATCTAATTTGGTTTTATAGCCACAATGTGCTGAAACATGTTTAAAGAATTCTGTGTGAAAATATGCTTGTTTTTCAACTACTTAGAAATAAAAAGCATGCTTTAAGAACACAGCAAAACACAACTGAAGAGTGCTTTGAGCATTATATTGCAAATTTTATAGTCCAAACTCCAGCTATTTATTCAAGATGTGTCATAGTTTCTATATCATCATTATTCTACATTTTAAATTGTCATATGCACTGAAAATCTCAAGGCATCAAGCAGATTATTGGCTCATGTGAGAACCAATTCTGGAAAGTCTTGTAACTCCGTTCAACGGAGTATACTTGCAAACCACTTCAGTGGTTTTTGATCTGCCAGCAGCTGTTCTCTCCCTGGTTTGAACAAGCAGTATTTCCTCCTCTCTTCCTTTTCTCCTTATTGTGCATGATGAGAGCAGACCTGTTTCAGCTCCATTTCCTAAACATTGTTGAGCAACAACAACCTAAAATTGAATTGGCTATGCTGACAGTGGGAGGCCCCAAAATTCTGTAGCCTCTGTTATTTTTAACCCTCATTGCTCAGCTGTAGCCCTTGCCAAAGCCTGTTTTCTATCCTTTCCGTCATGCCCACATTTGCATCTAATGCTAACTGGAAGGAGGTTTGAGATTTCCATTTTCCAGTTCTCTTGGCTGTGCTGGATTCCGTGAGGATCACAATGATGGACAAACATGGCAGCACAGGTCAGTATTAACTGTTCACCAAAAGCCTTGTCATCAATACACATCTGACCCACTCAGACAAGCTCACCATATGGAACGTAGAAGCTGTCACTGCCCTGGTATTAAGCCATAGCACCCCGCAGTGCCCATCCCACAGCAGCACCAGTGCTGACTGACACAGTCACAAAAAGGATATGGCTCATAATGGGATTTTTGCGTTTCTGTATCCAGGCTTCTGTAATTTCATTTTGGTTCCTGTTTGATCTCAGACAGGTGGTTTTCAGCCTTCACCCAGAAAAGACAACTAGTATTATGCTACAGCTCTGCTCCAGCCTCCTTTGATGAAATGATCTGAAAGGGGGCTTTGTAATGTTGTTCTTCCTCTTATCCTCTCACAGTCTAGCCTCAGATATTAAGACTAGTGTTCAAATGAATAAGCTATTTAAGGCCTTTACCTCAATGTTTTATTAGCTTAACTATTAACTTTAAATATTTGCATTGGCTTCCAACAATAGATTAATCAGAAGTCCCACTATTACTACTACACAAAGCAAAAATTAAAATGAATACTTATTCCTGGGATATGTGGGGATTCACACCATACAAACACCAACTTGTAAAAGCAGGTTTATTTTACCAGAAAGAAATATGGAAGTAAATAGAAATAAAAGAGTTACAGTAGAATTTCTTAAGTGGATGTGATTTGGCATATTGACCTAATAATAGGTACTTTTTCCTTTGCAAAGCTAGCAAGGCAAAACCCCAGTTAGGTGATGCAGAGCCAAACAAATCTTCCTACCTTCAGTCCATTTACATTATCTCTACTGCTACAGTTTATCTATGGTTCTCTGCCAGGCACTGTTTTCAGAAGCGCTGTTGCCCAAACAGAACTGCCTCTATGGGGACGAATTCCCATTGGCAGCTCTAGAAGCACCAAGGCCTTGGGCTGGCATGGAAGCATGGAAGACTATCTCAAACCCTTCTGTAGCTTAGGCTTATGTGTTTTCATTTGCATATGAGTGGAATAATCTAAAATTTTTGTTCATTAGCAGTACTTACAAAAAATTAGTACAACCCCCCAACAGCAAAAAAAAGAATAAAATAATCAATAGAGTTAATTGTCTTTGTACATCAGCCTTTCTACTTAAGAACCAGTCTGTCAAAATTAATGCTACAATTAGATAAATACATACAATTCTGTATTTATTTTTTTATATTCTTTATTGGCTAAACTTACTGATGGCTTAGATTTTGTCTTCTTTTCTTTTCCTTTGTCCCCTTTTCTGTTGCTGGTAAAGTAATGCAAGGCGCCATATTCCATCAAGGCAGCAAACACAAAAATGAAGCAAACTGAAACAAAAAGGTCCATTGCTGTCACATAGGAAACCTTTGGGAGTGACTTCCTGGCAATTGTGCTCAACGTTGTCATGGTCAGCACTGTTGTAATGCCTATTGGAGGAAGAAAGAAAAAAAGACAGGAAGAGGGGTGTATATAAGTAATCCAATCATATATTGTCACCAAAAAATGCTCAAATTAGCCATTAATTCATTCATGAGGAATGCAAGAAGCCATCCCCATGGATCCAGCAGCCACCATGGGATCACACAGAAGGCAGTACCTTTCACCTTCAGTTTAAAACCTCATTTTCAACACACACTGAATAAACAATGACACTCAAAACATCTGTGTAATTTCTTTAAACCTGATATAGAATGCGTACATAAAACAAACACAATAGACAACAGGAACAAATAAGCATACAAATTTTATCAACACAAAAAAAGTTCTTCGGTTCTTGAAATACTAAAATATACAAAAAGATACATTCTGAAAAAAGGATGTGTTATTTATGCATAATTTCAAGCTTTCAGAAAACATGAGAAAAAGGAACAATGTTTTCAGTTGTTTGTTTCTGACATCTAGCAGATCAAACTAGATGAACTTCACTGCTTTCCTGGTCTCATTCTCTAAATTGTTAGGTATTTTTTTCAATACTATGTCTTAAGTAATAGCAACTGTTTCCTTTGGTTCACTTAAGTACGAGTTAATTAAAAGAACAAGCTGGCCTCAATTGCTACGTGCTCAGAATCTCAACTATTCCACCCTTCAATGTTTTAACATTTAAAAGGTGTTAACACTTTCTTCTTATACTTGATGGTTCAGGGAGATGCAAAGCCTTTTTCACAGTAGTCCAAAATTCAGATGTGACCTTTACTTTGGAAAGCAACACTTGAACACACAAATAATTTGTTATTTACATGAACAGGCTTATTGCAGGTAATACATAACACCAGTCTGTTTACAGCTTTGAAATCTAAGCATGGAATCAGGGGTCGCTAAGGACTCATTCAGCAGGAGGAAAGCAGTGCTGATTTTGCAACAGATTTCCCAATGAAATTACATGCCTAAAAGGACAAACAGATAACCACAGTTTTTCAAAAGTGCTTCACTCCCACTAGATGCTCTTGAAAATCAATTAGGCATTTCTCTGCATAATTAAATATCTAAATACCTTTAATCATCTCAAACCACAATCTGCCAAGATCTTTCAACATATGCAGAAGAAAAAGGCCCAAGCCTTTTCAGTGTAACAGAATCCAGCACAGCCTCCAGATGGGAGGTGATGCCCACCACTGTCCTTACTGATTTCTGTCCAGAGAGGATAAAAGGATATATGGACTTTCCCAGTCCTCTTCACTACATGGAAAGCATACAGGGGGCTGTCACAGGGAACAAACCTTCCATAGCATCATGACCACTTGCCCCAGTGGACCTTGCTTAGTTTTGGTTTCCTTGCTTAATTTCTCAGTCTTCTTGAATAAAATTATGTCTATTTGATTAGTATTCTCTTTGTCCTTCACCAGAGCATCTGCCTGTGAGAAAAGTCACCCTACAATCTCTCAAATGATGGCTTCTGCATGTGCACATAAAAGGAGTTCAGAGTTAACTGAAAGCTGCTTTAAATATGATATTGCAAACATCTGTAGTACATTTCAAGCAGATGAAGGATAGTACTGCTGAAGTGGAAGCATGAAAACTCAAGCTCAAAGGCAAATTTGCCAGGTTCATGGCATAGAAAAAGTGTGCTGTAAAAAGAACAAACTGGATACAGAACTAGTATGATACCAATACAATAGTTTTTCCCTGTTATAGTTAGTGTATTTCCAGATGATACCCAGAGTGATGTCCAATAAATACTCAAAGAAATCTTATAATAAAATTTTAAATCAAGATTTTAAACTATCAGGAGATCATTTCACTTATTTATTCAAGATTTTATGCTCTCTTCACTAAACTTTGCAGTACTTTTAAATAGCAGAAAGTTAAGATGCAAGACAGATTTTCTTCCCTTGCTTTTTCATTAAGCTACTGAGCGATGCACATTTTTGCTTACTTTCTCTCTTAACTTATGAAACTTGAAGGCCTGCCTGCACAGCAGTTCAGTTTCAGTAGAAAAGGCTGGGTGTTAAAACACAGACTCATTTTTCTGGTAGGAAATACTCCTTGAATGTGGGAATGCTGTGCTCAAAATCCTCTAAGTTGATGAGGGAAACTAACTCACATCTCTCACTTCCTAAGATACACGCTCAGCTCTTGATGTTTCCCCTAAAACAGGTCATACTACTGTCACTAGTTTTACTATAAGCATCTGTGACTGCTAAGCTCCAAGTTGCTAATGTCACCCTGTGTGCTACAAGCAGCCCCATCTATCGTGCTTTGTGTGCAGACTATGACTCTTCTCCAAGGCAGCACAACAATCCTAAGTGGGCAAATGAAGGAGATTGCCATTATCTATGTGAAAAAGGTCAGCCAAGATGACACTAACACAGAATTATTCTGTAGCAGAACTTACAACACACTTCAGTACCGTCTGTATTAAAAGCAGGATGGTGAGTCAGTTTTTGTCAGTTTTATGCTGAATTCTTTGAAATGCAACTTTATATAATTTCTGTCTTATCCTGGAGTTAAAAGAACAACTGAATCCTTTCTATTATTAAAAAAAAAACAAACACAAGCAACAACAAAAACCTCAAAAACAACAGAAAACTAAAAAAAACAAAACAACAAAACCATAAAAAACAGATCTTCACAGTTCTTCCCTGTGTAGTAATAGCTGCTTTTGTTCCATGATGCCAAGTTAATTTTAATCATACTTGTCAGACTAATGATTGCCCTATTGCATCCCTGGAGAGGTAAGAAGAACATAAAGAAGAAAGAAGCATCTATTTATTTGATCAACAGAAGATCCACAAGGCTTGGACCAGGATTTTCATATTTCCATCCTCAACACTCTCGCCTTAAGCTCTGCTGTTCAACCACAGCAGGATCTTCCTACCCTTAATCTTGTAGTTCAAAAGAAAGGGTGGCCAATGGTCATAATCTGAAGGGGAATAAACTGTGGTTAATTTACTCTCTGCTGCAGATTTGTATTGCTGGGGAGTACCAAACCCTTCAAGGTAGAAAAAAAACATTCTTACCCAGAGAAGTCCTTGCAGGAACTGCATCCTTATTGATCCAAAATGACACCCATGAAAGAACAACAGTGAGTATACAAGGAATGTATGTCTGAATAGTAAAATATCCCATACGTCTGCTGAGATCAAAGAAGATTGTCATAATAATATAATCACCTATAAATTAAAAAAAAACAAAAACAAAAAAACCCTTACATTACACTGAAAATGGTTTTAGGTTGTATGTTTGTCTGTTAGTCTTGTTCTACATAAATATTACATGAAATAAAACCTAGCACTTTGTCCTACCAGACAAGGTATGAGAAATTTCAGTTGTGTTTCGTAGCCCTACAAAAGCAAATTGATACAATCTCCAGTATTTTGGATCTGCCACTTCAACAGAAGTTTTCTTCCATTTGTATTCAATTTCATTTCTGGGATATCCATCTAGAATAAAACAGAGCAAATAAGGTGTTCAGTCACAGTATATACCAAAGCATGTTTTGTCACTTCTGGAGTTCTTTATGAACTAAACCAGGGCCAGACATTAAGTGTATCAGAGAGAAAGTCAATCTACAGTCTACCTGATACACTTAAAATTTAACCAAAAAATATCTAGCCTCAAGTTTAAGCTTAGTTGAATGTAAGATTGATCAAAAACTGTGTATACAAATGTTTACACAATATTCTGGAACTCAGATATGAAAAACTGTGTCAGAATCATCCACAAATGTAAGATACATTCCCAAATACCTTAAAAGGACACACACCTTTTAGTACATAATTTGATAAAATTCCTATTGATGCTTATTGAAAACCTGTGTATTATTCCCAGAATGGATTTTTGTGGCCTTATTCACTGTCCAGTACGTCAGCTTAAAGGAAGTGCAACTGTCTTGATTTTCATGTGTCTCACATGTTGCCTGACATTATCTTGCTGCAAGGCAGAAACGAAATTAAGCAAACTCACTTGTGTGGCACAACTATTTAATCAATGGAGCTACCAAAGCACATTTAGCTGGAAGCACTCAAGAAGGAGTGATGAAATGAAAATATTAATTTAAAAATAATCACTGAAGTTTGATTTCCTTTTCTATCAGGTTTCACATTTAGGATTAAGTCGTATAGTTGTGTTCAGGTGGTTTGGGTTTCTTTTGCCACTAACAGTACAATTCCTCTAGGAACTTTTTTTTTGTTTTAAAAATATATAATTTGTATTTATATTAAAGACATGAAGCCTGAAAGTTGTGTTTCTTGCTCACATGTATAAGTCCCACTGATAGGAGAAGCATTTACGGGAACAGGTTGAAGAAGACAGATCTTATTTTTCCTCTTCAGTATACCACATGGAACTAATTAAAAGCTGGTAAGTCTGTCAGGCATAAAAAATAAAGTTCTTCCAAGGCAATAGACTTCCATTAACTTGAATGGGCTCTGAATAACACTCTGAGCCGTAAGATTATTTTTAAAGTTGCATTTAAATGAAATGCATGTAATTAAACTCATTCATTACTACATTTACAAATGCAGTAAATAATGCAATAAATCTAATAAAAACATAAACAGGTCAATGATCTCCTTCACTACTATGCTTTAAAAAGTAGACACTTGCTCTCTTGCAGCCAGACTTTAAGGAAACATAAAAGTCTGTATGTAAAGAGGAAAAAAAACCAACATATTTTACCACCTACAGCTTGAAAATTCCAGCGGACAGGAGTGCTCATCCATAGGAAAGTTATGAAGCTGAAGATAACATTCAGCATTAATTGTCAGCCTAATTAGAAAAGGAAGGGGGGGAGGGAAACAAACAAACAACAGAAAAAATATTATATTCAAGCTTCCAGACACTTCAGACTAGATAGTAAAGGACATGCACAGAAATAATTTTTGCCAATTAAAGGACAGTATGTGCAAAAAAAATAGAGCATCACCAAGAAAGAGCAGAAGCTATCACCATATGCAACCTAATGACCTGTGTGGTTTCAACTGCCACTTCAAGCCTTCTTAAAAATTGTGTTTGATCTCGGGGGGGCATCTTTCAACTCTCCACCAGAAACAGGGGATAAAAGGGAGGAACTGAAGGCAAGGCAAGAAAGGGAGTTTTTGATAGCAAATAAAGTTTCTGAAGAATGCATTTGTCTAGTCAAATTGTATTTGGCATCGTTGTGTCAGGTGGCTATAGACATGAGAGAGAAAGTGCAGACATTCTTGGAAATGCTCTATACTCATGGAAGCAGCTCTGAAGACAGAAGCATGGATATTCTACTGGACTTGATCTTCTATTTATGTAATGTCTACAGCATTCAGTTAATTCATGCAATTAATACACATTTTAGAAGTAGTTTAGGACTCTTAATGATATTGACTGGATCACCTGCTGCTTTTGAAACTACTACCACAGATTTCTGAAGAGCTTCCAAGCAACCAGTGCAAAGCTCAGTTCTGCTAACTTTCACTAGTAACCTAGACTAGGGGGCTAGGCTCCAAAATGCCATCTAAGCATTTAAAACAGCTCCTCCTTTGCTCATAAACACTATGAAGAATGTCAGAATGTCTTCTAAAATCAACTTTGAAATAAATATAATGCTTACATACTTAACTCTATGCAATAGGAAGATTCTGCCACACAGTGCCAGAAACTTCTGTAAGTTTGAGAACAAAGTATTTATTCTACTCTAAGTGTCACTAGGACCCTTTTAGAAAGTTGTCTTGCCATATACCGGGCTGGGGTTTTGGGGGGTAGAAGGAATGGAATCCTACACACACACACTCACATAAACCACTTGCATTACTCTTAAGATGCTTTTCAAATTTGCCAGCTATGGCAGATGCAATTATCATCTTTGTTTTCCATTTTTCAACCTTTGCAGAGTCAATTGCCTAAAGACAAGGAAAACAAACTAGACTTTTCTCAAAAGCAACACTACGAGACCTGGAATCACTGGTGAGTGCAATGGACAGACCAAGAACTACGCTCAGAGGAGACTCACTAAGCCTGACTAACAGAATTAACACATCTGCTCCCTGTATTAGGAAAAAGGAAAGAGAGGTAGTACAGGGGAGCTCATGAACCTGGTGCACTGTCAGATCCTACTACTGTTCCTGCAATAACCAACATATGAACCTCTCAATGTTATTCCACTTGCCACATTCAAGCTATATCCTCATGTACACAGCAGTCTGCACGTTGCAGTCCTGCGTGAATACCTGTTGTTATATTACTGGCTCACTGCACTTTAAAGCTCAGACTCCAGCACAATAATTCTAACCTGTTGCTCTGGGAGAGCTCACAAGGTTATTTTGGTTGTGTTTGTTTGTTTCTTTGTGTTACTTAGACCCTGTTTAAAAGAAATTATACATTGGAATGGAATGGATAATGGAAGGGTAAAGTTCAAGTATGACTATAGAATTGTTAGCTGCAAAAAGAAAAAGAAACAATTAGTATGTCAACAGAAGAGACTCTCTAGAAATGTTTATAAACACCCACATAATGAACTGTTAGAACTGCTCTTCAGAGATATTTCTGTGTCCTCAAATAAAGCATATTAAGAAAAAATTCAGTGAAGAGAATTCTTTTAAAACATTCTAATTATTTTTACTTTCGATACAGATGACTGAAAGAGTGGTAGTACAGGGGAGCTCATGAACCTGGTGCACTGTCAGATCCTATTACTGTTCCTGCAATAACCAACATATGAACCTCTCAATGTTATTCCACTTGCCACATTCAAGCTATATCCTCATGTACACAGCAGTCTGCACGTTGCAGTCCTGCGTGAATACCTGTTGTTATATTACTGGCTCACTGCACTTTAAAGCTCAGACTCCAGCACAATAATTCTAACCTGTTGCTCTGGGAGAGCTCACAAGGTTATTTTGGTTGTGTTTGTTTGTTTCTTTGTGTTACTTAGACCCTGTTTAAAAGAAATTATACATTGGAATGGAATGGATAATGGAAGGGTAAAGTTCAAGTATGACTATAGAATTGTTAGCTGCAAAAAGAAAAAGAAACAATTAGTATGTCAACAGAAGAGACTCTCTAGAAATGTTTATAAACACCCACATAATGAACTGTTAGAACTGCTCTTCAGAGATATTTCTGTGTCCTCAAATAAAGCATATTAAGAAAAAATTCAGTGAAGAGAATTCTTTTAAAACATTCTAATTATTTTTACTTTCGATACAGATGACTATTCTAAATTGTCCATATACAACACAACTAGTGTGCATATGAAAACAGCATAGATGTCTGAAAAGAAAGTAATTAAAAGTTGCTACTTATTGTTTAAAATAAATAAATAAACTCTCAAGAGCAGAATCATATTTATGGAATCTTCTGTATGGACTGCCTCTTTATTAGCTCCTAATTTATTGCAAGATTTCTTAGCATACGTAAAAAATAAAACTGAGAAATTACCCTATATGATTTCTGTAGAACACAGCCTTTCAAGAATTGTTTGAAAAGTGACTCAAAGATCAGTGCAGATAGCCTAGATGGCAAGCTTAAAATCAGCCCAAGTATCTCTCATCTGCCAAGAATTGTCACCAACGTGTTTGCTTATGCCTAATTTGGATGAACTGGTTTGTTTAAATAGTTTGCAAGGGTAAACGTTAGAAAGTACATGCAGGATTGGGGCCTTAGCTTTAATAAAACTTTTATTATTTTTATTATTTGAAACAATTAAAATTTCTCTTGTAGCAAATTATTTGGTGGAAATTAGATACTGAACTATTTAGGAAATAGTCTGCAAAACAATTTATGACTAGATCTGCAATATGTTGTTGTTTTTTTTTTACCCAGTTAATAGAAACCCACCTTAGAGTATATAGCACTCTTCCATCACTCCAGATTCGAAGCAAACGATTTGGAGTTGTAATCCAATGAGCATCAGATTTCCTTGAGTTCCGGAAGAAAGTGTCTGGAATCCAAATTTTTCCAACCATATTGCTATTAAGCATAAGCACCTTCATTGAGCTGTTAAATTTTAGACGACTGTCATACCATGTCTGGGCAAAAATTATATCTATAGTGTATTCCTAAAAACAGAGAAACAACCACATCTATGTATGTTTACCAAAGTCTGCCAGCCAACAATTTTTAATTCTTATATAAATCCATGGCCACATCTATTTTCTTTTGTATGGCAATTTGTATAGCACACAGCAGTCTGAGAAACCCAAACTGAGAAACTCCAAACTAAGAAATTACAGGCACAAAGCCGTCTGTCCCTACTTCCTCTCCCCTGACACACACTGATTAGCTTAGGAAGAGGAGACGTGATGGGAACTTGCTATAACCTGGAGGTCCCTGCACTGTGCAACCACATCTGGCAGACCTAGACAGAATTTTAAGAGCAGCGTTAATACTTCAAGGCTAAGACTATATTCATTAAGACAGAGATTCTACATCTCTTAAGAAGCAAACAAAATAAACTTCCTATGTTTTCCTCCAAACTTTACAACATGCAATGTAAGATCCTTGAAGAGATTTCAGCTTTGAAAAATCCATTAACATGCAGGAAGTAAATATCACAGTTTGCAGAACTATCTGAAACTATCTGCCTCATAGATCTACTTGCATACACACAAAAGTATACATCATCATAATCCCAGAGGAAATTTCCCTTTACTTACTAAAGCCTAAAGAAAGCTCCTCTTTGTGACAGAATGTCAAAGTCCTCAGTAGACTTATGGCCAGAAGACAAAAGTAAAAAATAGAGAGATAGATGGAAAACCCACAGCCTTTTAATGAGACAATTCCTGACACAGTAGAACTTGAGGGAGGATAAATATTACAGATGTGATGAAATATTGTTTTTCAAATAATCCAGCCAGTTGTTCCTGCACTCCTGCACAAAGGAGCAAAGCAGCAGTCTCTTCTCTGTTGTATTTGTCACAGCTCCAGACCACGACTCTGACTTTAAGAGCAACAGCCTCTCTACTTGATGGCAGATGTGATCTTTCTTGCATGGCTGCCCAGCAAGGGCACCAAGGAGCAACTCAGCAGCTCCTCTGCAAGGAAAAAGAGCTGGAGACCAAACATAGGCATTTGATGTCAGTTGTCCACCTCTCAGTTACAGGATCAGTGGGGAGGGGAAAGAGAAAAGAAGACAGTGGTTCAAAAACTTGCTTGAACCAGAGGTCACTACTAGTTTACTTGGTCAATAAATATGCATGGTGCAGTCTGTGAGTTCTGTTTTCAAATAATATAACAGTGAAGGCTTTGCTGGTTGGAGTGGGGGGTTTTGTTCATTTTACTTTTAAATAATCACAGCAGCCGAGTGTACGAACGAGAAGCCTCACTCATTTCTGCAACTGATACCACCCATCTCCCAGGAAAGTCTGTGAAATGTAGCAGTTGATTCTTGAGAAGCACCCAGGCAGATATTCCAGGGCTACTTAAATCTTTCTCCATTTTTCCACCTCTTCAGGTGGGAGAATAACAGGTTCAGGAAATATATATGCTAGAGGATGCTTGTCCTTGCTCTGTGATGCATGGCAGATGAGGACTGTGCTAACACAGTGACTCTCAAAGGTTATGAGTAACCAGTGTATGAGGCAAACAGTGAAGGGACAGGTGGAATGAAAGGACTAATCAAAAATGCATTTTAAAGATGACTGCCCTAAAATTGCTTATGCCTTGAGAGGCCATTAGGAGAAGATTCTGCAGGTCAAAACAAGACCTTAATTATTTTGCTTCTGTAAATAACATTCAAGAAATACATGAAAATCCAGGGCTTGTTTAATCTTAATATTCCGCTTTCTGTGCTCTTCTATAGTGGTTACAACTAGAAAGGAAAATGGTGTTGCTGTCATGTAAATGAGAGCCCAAAGCAGTGCACTGGAGAAGTGTTTTAATGAGATTAAATGAAACAGAATGAACAAAGATTTACATGCTGCCTTTACAGTACAGATAGGATTAAAAAAGAAGTCAGTGAAATCAACAGACATGACCAAGTGTATGAAAAGAGCAGGTTGTCTGAGTTTGAAGGTGCTACTCTGAGCAGCCACTTTACAGTAACACTGCATTGTTGGAGAAAAAGAAATTTATCAAAGTATCATTACAGTCACATGCACCTAGAGTAAGAAAACTCTCAGGTTGCCATAGAATACCAACCACCCTAAAAATTAAGATAAAAAAAAAAAGAGCAGCTAACAGGTTATTTTGAACACACAAAGCAAAGGAACAGCCTCAATGGACCCAGATGCTTTCATTCTCTTACCTCTCAGCATTAAATGTGCAAGTTTTTATCATACCCATGTATTACAGGAGTTGTTTAAAGAACTTTTTGGGAAAAAAAAAAAAAAAAAAAGAGAGAAACTTTATTAATATCCTTCATTATACATTTATCACAGTTCCAAAAAGATCTATTACATAATAGTTTAATGTAATCAAATTAGTAACTACTTGTTTCCAAGCATCTTGATGAATGTGTAGCAAGATATTCAATTGCTAGCTTCCTGTAATATACCCAATGTACCTATACTATCTTTCACTCAAATTAACTTTGGTGCAACGTCCAAGCACATACCTGTACTCCCATTGCAGAGGTGAAAGGCATGTGAGAATGGAACTCAGATATATTTATCTTAGCCTCCTTTCTGAATGCAAATTTCCCATAAAGAGTCCAGGTGGTCCAAATAGATCCCAAGCAGTCACCAAGAAAAAACATGTAGGATGATCAGACAACTAAGAGTCTGCCATCGTGCAGCTGTGACGGTTTGGACACTTGAGAGCAATAACCTGACAGGGAAACCATGCTAGGGGGATTATCAAGAAATTTGGATTATTTCAGAAAAAAAGTAGTTTTGAAATAAGCCTGAAATTTTCAGATTTTATTGATTCATACACTGAATTCCCTTAAACTTGCATCTCCTGAAAAATATTTCATATTTCCATTTCCTTTTAAGAAGGGTAAATTTGTTGAAAATTAGGTAGAAAAATCATTATATTGTCTTTTCTGGGGATACTTTATTTCCAAAACTATCTTTGTTTAGATATCGTATGAGTAAGCACAACAGCAGCCAGATTTATTCAATATTCTTTTAGTGCAACAAATCTTTCTGAGCAACCATTGTCTTCCTTGCTTTCTTACAAAAAGTTAAAATTAACACTCTTATCACCACTTCTATTAGTCTTTCACAAAACTCACCATATAATGCCACAGTGTAACCATAAAAATCAGCTTACTACTCTCTCTTTCAAATAAAACTGATGATAAAATAGTCATGAAGAATGAAATGCATGCCTGTTCATATTTAGCTTCAAAGCATTCAATAAGCATGGCACACGTTAGCTCATATTTGGCACTTGGTTAGATCTCTGAACTCTTTCTTTGCACAGCTGGCATAAAGAGCCCACCTGTCTAATTATTTACAGGTAACTGCAATCCTCCTCCATCTCTTTCTTCTCTAAAAGATCATAGCAAACTCCAAAGGCTGGGAACACAGTGACTAAACACAAATTACCATTACAGGCCAGGCAGTGAACAAACCGTGAATACTGACAAGCAGGTGTATAGTCTAAGAGGAAAGCATTTAATAAATAAAAGCAATTCCTTCAAATAAAGTAGGAACAGCTACTCTGAGGGAATAAATTGAATCTTCAACATCAGTTTCATTGTCATGAACAGTTCAATTACAGTCAGATATGAAGATGTGCTGGTGGAATTTTTTTAATTGGAAAGCTGTGAAAGAAAGGGAGGCAGACACTATTGTTTCTTAGTGAAAATGGCATCACATGAATTCCAACATAATATCAATAAGGACAGAAAAAAAATTTCACAAGCAAAAAAAAAACATTTTTCTTGCATATTTTGTCTGGCAGTCTCACAACTAATTTGACATTCCACAGTAAAGTGTGGAGAAGTGAAACAATGAACAGATAAATTGTTGGCTGGATTATGTAAACTGCCAACACATTTTGTTTGACAACAGGAAAAAAACTGGCCTAGTTTTCTGAGGTCAAACACAAAAGCAGTGAAAAGTCCCCAAACCAAAACCAGAGCTAAAAGACTGTGCCAAACACACAGTGCAATACAGTTCATTACCAGTGAATTTCAGAGAAAAATTAATTTTAAAAATACTCCGTCATTTCACCTTTGCTCACCTTTTTCTTCCAGATACAAAATTTCACCTGAAGGGCACCTGGAGTTTTCTGGAGTGGAACAAGCTAATCCAGAAATCTGTTTCATAGGGAGCCTCTGAACTCAGTTCAATTATGAAGTGTGACATGACTCCCCATTATTCAGTTTTCTGAGCTTCAGTATATATTCCCCATGTTTCTTCATTTTAACCAGCTTTCCAGTTCCTTAAACCGGAGCACAATGTAAGAGAGGCAAGGAATACTTCAGAAAAAAACAATATGAAGGGGAAACTAAAGAAAGCATCCTACCAACCTATGTGATGTGATTTAATATCAAAGACTCAGTTTAGTATGCTAATTAAGAGGTTTAACCAACAAAGGAAGTCATAGGCAAAACTGGTAACCACATGCTTTCCTAAGAGGAAAAAAAAAAAGCAACAAATCAAGCACTAGCCAATTTATCTTCATCATGTCACTGTGCTGCCAATAAGCACTTGTGACCTTTACCTCTTCCTTCACTCAAACATCTCTGGACTTCAATAAGGGGATATTAAGTAATTTATTAAAATAATTAACCTATCTTTGATGTATAACTAGTCTTAAGAAAATGTCTAAAATGTGGCTCTTCTCCCTGCTGGGTTATTTAAAAGCCCTTGAAACAGGATTTTTCAGCTGCTTCAGGGCCAACAGTGGTTTCAGAGCTTGATGTCCATGGCTGGAACTGAAGCAAAATTATCATTTCTTCACTTGGTAAACCATTTTAGTTCGCTCACTAGAGCAACCTAAACCAAATGACCTTAGGGTGAGATAAAAAAAGATCTAACAAATCACAATAATTTTGACATGTACCTGTGATATAATGTTAATGACACTGCAGCTGTGGAAGAGGTGAGGCTGCGGGAAATACACTGAACAGAAGTGCACAGCATCTGCTCCCAGAAACTTCTGACCA